CCCCAAAACCCCAAAACCCCAAAACCCCAAAACCCCATTTCCGGCTCATATTGTTGAAGGTAGAGTATAATTATTTCTGGACTGCTTGGAGTCCACTTCTCAACTCTGAAATAATATCTTTGAGGGTCATCACTTCAAATTCCAAAGATTTGCACTTGGAAACTAGATGCTTTTCTCTCTGTTGGTAGTCTTCTAGTACATTCTTGATTCTGTTTTTCAGTCCATACAAGCTCCTTGCAGCGTCTATTTCTGAAGGAATCTCTAAGCTATCTTGGCTATTTTGCAGAATGTTGCAGTTTCAGCCATGAATACAGTGCCTAAGGGTTATTAGTGATTCGTACTTTTGGGACTGGGATACATCCATTTCAAATTCATGCGCAGGGTATTCTTTATGATCAATATTTTTGGGCTTGTTAGATCTCTTCTTTCCGAAAGTATTGTGGTTATTCTGTACGAATTTATTGAAAATATTGCTTACATTTACCTGATCGAGCATCATGATTACGCCTTTGTTACGAGCGGTTTCATATTTCTGCTTCATTGTGAGCTTCTCGATTCCTATTTTTGAGAAATTTGGGATACCTTTGCTTAGTCCGATGTTGAATTTAGTATCATATTTGGGATTTTCAAGGGAAGAGAGCCGATTCTCACATGTTTTACGATTCTTGCAGTCCTCTTTGGAAGGGAAGTTATAATTAGAAGACTTAAAAGAGTCTGTTTCAATGAAGTGGTCCTCAGGTCCCTCAGTCCCTGACCTATCATAAGGTCTCTTCAGGATGATTTCAGTATCAATAATCTCGAGTGAGCTTGCATTTTTGTGTTCATTTTCCACATAAGTTGGGACGGTTTTGTAAAACTCAAGCTCTTGGTTAGATTTGTAGTTCTTTATTTGCTGATTTCTGGGATGGTCCTTCTTTTCGTCAAGCAAACTTCTCCTCATATGGGCTCCAAAATAGTTTTTATTTTACTATGCTAGTCTTTTTGGTCTTCTTCTGGGGAGATTTCTTATGGCAAAAAGGGTACCTTGGCGTGATCGAAGAAACTTTCAAAGAGGCAAATCCGAGGTTATCTGAGAGCATACACTTTTCATTCTTACTGTTGGCCTTGGTATGTTTGTACATCTTGCCTTTCTTCTTGATAGACCTCTCTTCAGAAAATTTCGGATAGAGCTGGATCGACTTTTTGGCAGTTGAAAATTTCAAATGATCTATGTTGTTAATTCTAAGAGGAAGTACCTGTTCAAGAGTCTTTGTCATCAGCTTTTGGCTTTTCAATATTTTTATCGGAGTAACTACTATTATTCTTACTGATGATCGAACAATTCTTAGCTTTTACACCAATTCGAGGTGAATTGGCTACATGAGGAGGTGAATACTTGTGTGAGTGTATCATATGCCCTTTCATGTTCATGTTGATGTAGTTCTTAGATTTCAACCCCTTATTTCCTCGACTCTAGCAAGTTTAGAGTGGTTGTCTTTGGAGCTAGCTTGCTAGTGATTGCTACAAATGACGGACTCTTCATACTATTTATATTCCTTTTGAAGTCATATTTATTCTTCTGCATCTGTCTCTTCATATCCTGACTCTTGTGAGCTTTGAGAAGGTTCTTGCTCTTTTTATTTCAACACTGTGTTCCTTTTGGTTACGCTTTTGGACAAGCTTTTGCTAAACTCTGTACTTTTCTGTGCAGATGTAGATCTATCAGGCCGTTCTATATGAAGAGTTTATCTCGATTATGAGGAGTAAAATAGCATTTAGAGTATGAAAATTCTAATGATAACACAGTTTGGATCAATTCTTGGTAGTCTGAGTCGGTTTACCTTTACCATAAGTCTCTTCTTGTTTCCTAAAAGTTATGAGTAAACTCTCACCTCTCTTTGATCTCCTTATTTCTCTTTCCGCTGGTGTATAATGAATCTTGGATTGAGGGGTTGGTATTGACGTTCGAGTTGAAAATGGAATACTCACGAGCAGATTTGTTCCCTCCTTCGTTTGATTTAATCACACTTTTTGGAGTCATGCTGAGACTTAGCTTCGCAAATACTGGCTTCTATTTTGTGTTACTTTGATCGACTAGGAGCTTACGTTGGTTCTGTTGTGAAACATATTTTTTGATAAGTTAATATTTATTATGCTCATTATTTCAGACTAAATTTGGGGTTTTGGGGTTTTGGGGTTTTGGGGTTTTGGGG